CATGAATGCATCTCATTATAGCCTCTTTCCTTGATGATTGTGTTGATGCTGAGACACAAGTACAGAAAGCTATCAAATGCTTGCCTGTATTTATCCTTCTTGATGCTCCAAGAACTAGGAGCTATTTATTTATTTTAAGAAAATCAGAAAAGATATGAATTTATCTTTTTTATTCTAAGGAATAAGTATAGGTGCTGTAATAAGAATGGTACTTTATAAAAGCAGTAGATTTGGATATTTGACTGTCAAACAAACAAACAAAAAAAAAACTCCAAAACCAAAATATGTGGATTACTCTTATCAACTAGTGTTTGTTTTTAATTCTATATCATAGTTACTCTGTGCTAGGAAAATTATATATTTTTAAATACAATTTCCTCCAGTAAATGAGGAGGAGAATTTTAATTGTTTCTATTCTTTTTGTAATTATAATGAAAATAATAACATTATTAACATATTGGCCATGGAACTGCTAAGGGTCACATATTTGATATTAGAATAAAAATTGCCCCATTGAAGATTGGCTTTGCTATCAGGCAGATATTACAAGAGGGAGATTTGATGCTTTTCCCTTAAGAAAGCTCATATATTCCTAAACACAGTGCCCCTCTTAAAGAATATTTTCTTCCAAATTTTATCCCTTTGAGATGTAAGATTTCGTCCTTGTAAAAATACAAAATTTGGTTACAGCAACCATTTTTCAGTTACTAGTCATTTATAAAGAAGCTCTGGCAGCACAGTGCCTAAGGCACTTGACTGCTAACCGCAAGGCTGGCCATTCAAACCCAGCAGCCATTTCTCAGAAGGAAGGTTGGGCAATCTACTTCTGTAGTGATACTGCCTCGGAAACCCAAGGAGGGGTCGCTATGAGTTGGGGCCAACTCGACAACACATAACAACAACAGTCATTTACACTGTGTGTATGCGATCCTTTTCTGAAAAGATGTGTTGGCTCAAAAACATTGCATAAACAGGGAACAGTTTAGAGGCAGGAGAAGAGAAGAAAGATAATGCAAGGGTATTGAGTAGAAGCGAAGGGGAAGTACACACAATGGAAAGAAATTTGGCAGCAAGGCCAACCTTCTCTCAATTCCCAATATTTTCTCTGAGATTAGCAATGACCCATTGATAGCCATTTTTTACTCGATGCAAGGGCATTTGTTCATTTGGAATCAATGATATGCTACAGAGTTCAAAAAGTGACTGTGTATGGGGATGGTCTATGCTTTCCTTACGAACAACTCCCACCATAATCTGTCCATTCTTTCCGATCTTTAGGCCATTCCTCAACTCTGTTTTCCCCTTGGTCAATGTTTATCTTTCCTTCATTAACTTCTGCACAAAATAGCACTCTAAGTATTTCCATGAAGCCATCATTGTTGCCTTGGTTATCAGAGCAGATTTAACCAAATCTACAGTAGCAGACTGAAATAGTTAACAATTTTTTTCTGTTAGCCTATCCAGTGTTGCAGTCTTGGGTTTTCAGGGTGCAGTCATGGAACACAAACCTATGAAAAACTTCACTTTCTCTTCTATGCAGTGAATTCATTTGGGGCTTAACTTGCAGGGTTTCTCAAACTTGAAATTATTGACATTTTGTATCAAATAACTCTTCATTGTGGGTGCATTCCTATGCATTGTAGAATGCCTAGCAACATTTCTGGCCTCTACACACTAGATTCCAGGAGTACTGCCTAGTTGCGACAACCAAAAATATTTACAAATATTGTTAAATATTCCTTGGGGGCAAAGTCCCTGCCCCATGCCAGTTGCAAATCATTGGGTGAAAGGAAGATTCTCCGCTACTGGTACAGTCACTTTGGACATCATGTTAGACTAAGTAGAATCAGAAACAGACGTGAGTGTCAATACCAGAAAGCAGCATGGGGAAGTTAGGTTCAATCCTGGAGGAAATTTAGAAAGGTAGGAAATGAGCTTATTGTTAGGTGCTGCCATGTCGGCTAAGACTCATAGCAACCCTATGTATGAACGCACGTGGTGCAGTGCCTAAGGCATTGGACCGCTAACCAGAGGGTTGACAGTTCAAACCCACTAGCCACTCCACGGAAGGAAGATGGGGCAATCTACTTCCGTAAAGATTTACTGCCTGGGTGACTCAATGACTGTGGGTTTTTTTTATTTTTTTTGGTGCCATCTTCACAATCTTGGCTATGCTTCAGCCCATTGTTGCAGCCACTGTGACAAGCTGTCTTATTGAGAGTCTTCCCCTTTTTCACTGATCTCTACTTTACCAAGCACAATATCCCTTTCCAGGGATTTGTTCCTTCTGATAATGTCAAAATACATGAGACAAAGTCTGGCCATTCTCCCTTCTAAGGAACATTCCAGCTGTACTTTCCAAGATAGATTTGTTTGTTCTGTGGAAGTTCATGGTCTATTCAATATTCTTTGCCAGCACCACAATTCAAATGCATCAGTTCTTCTGCCTTCCTTATTCATTGTCTAGCTTTCACATGCATATGAACAACAACAAATAAACAAACAAAAAAACAAGCTCAGTGCCTCCGAGTAGATTGCCACTCATCGCGACCCCTGCTTAGGGTATCTGGTGTGGTATCTCTATGGACATATATTGCCCAGTCTTCTTTCTGAGGAGTGGCTGGTGGGTTTGAACTTCCAGCCTTCTGGTTAGCAGTCAAATACCTTAGGCACTACGCCACAAGAGCTCCTTCACATGCATATGAGGCTATCGAAAATACCATGGCTTGGATCAGGTGCACCTTAGTCTTCCAAGTGTGATGTCTTTGCTCTTTAACACTTTAAAGAGGTCTTTTGCAGCAGATTTGCCCAATGCAATATGTGATTTTTTGATTTTATGACTGCTGCTTCCATGGGTATTGATTGTGGATCCAAATAAAATGAAATTCCTGACAACTTCAATCTTTTCTCCATTTATTGTGATGTTCTTTATCGGTCTAATTGTGAGGATTTTTGTTTTCTTTAGGTTGAAGTGTAATCCATACTTCATCAGTAACTGCAAGGTTGTGTCATCTGTGTATTGCAGGTTGTAAATGAGGTCTCCTATAATGACGATGATGCATTATTTTTCATATAGTCCAGCTTCTCAGATTATTTGCTCAGCATACAGATTGAATAAGTATGGTGAAAGGATACAACCCTAACACACTCCTTTCTTGATTTTAAATCATGCAATTTTCTCTTGTTCTGTTTGAACTACCACCTCTTGGTCTATGTACAGGTTCCTCATGAGTACAATTAAGTGTTCTGGAATTCCCATTTTTCACAATGTTATCCATAATTTCTTATGATCGACACAGTTGGATGCCTTGTATAGTCAATAGAATGGAAAATATCAATCAATATCATTAATATCACATGCAAATAAAATTTTCCTGAAGATAATTCAAAAATGGTTGCAGCAATATTTTGACAGGGAACTGCCAAAAATTCAAGCCAGATTCAGAAGATGTGGAATGAGTGTTATCATTGCTGATGTCAGCTGGGTCTTAGCTGACAGCAAAGAATACCAGAAAGATGTTTACCTGTGTTTTACTGACTATGCAAAGTCATTAGACTGTGTGGATCATAACAGATTATGGATACATAAAGGGGAAATGAGGTTAGGGGAATTAATACAAACCCTGAGAGAGAAAATTTGTCTTTATAACTTATTTGGGGAAAGGAAGAGCTGAACAAGGCAGATGCAAATCTGAAGTCAAATATGGCAGTCAACGTTACAGCATTTAGAGTACTGATTATATTAGAGTGGATCTAAAGTTCATTCTCTTACTCCTTAGAACCTGATCTAGAGTCTTTCCAGCACAAGTGGCTGAAGGAAAGGCTGTTCTCAGGCCAGAGTTATATCCTAGCAAGGTGCCTGAATAGCAAAGATGTTAAATGAATGAATCACTTTCAGTCTACAGAGAAGCCCCTAGAATGCAGCTGTATTTCCTAGTTGGCCTGAATAAAAAAGCCCTCCAGGAATGACCTTTCAATTTGAGAATCCTTTGGAAGGAGACTAGGGGGCCCAGCGAGAATGCTGAGTGATAGCTACGCTTATATCTGAGACATTTCTCAGAACTGCTTCTCCAGGGGCCTGGGTATGGAGGTTTATTGTGATTCTTAGCTTTTTAATAGGGCAACTGGGAGCTCTCTTCAGCAGCCTTACCTTAGAAGCATCAGTGCATATCTAACAGGGTTGATCTGTATTGGCTAGCTTGGTTTTCATGGGTCCTTGTCTATATTCCCTCCGGTCCTTGATCCCTCAATGTTGGAACTGGAAGTCACCACCTTAACTTTAGGCCAGTGAGACTGTATGGATGATGCTGGTTACTCTGAATCTGTGGCCTAGTCCAAGATCTGTAGTCCTAGGAGGACAACTCCTGAATGTGACACTCATAAGTTGAAGTGACCTCGTTGTCACTAAGCAAATGTCGATAATAGAGGCTAATAGACATGTTGTTGTTACTGTTATTGTTTGGTGTTTGTTGTTATGTGTTTTGACTTTTTAAAATATACTAGAGTCTCTTTGTGAAGCTAACTTTTCTGATTGTGGCATGGAAAACCAAAAAGCCTTTTGAATGCTGGCGTATTTCTGAGAATCATACAATTTTAAAGTTTATGTTAAGTTTGGTGTGAAAAAAGAACATAATGATTTATAAAATTTGGTCTCCAAAGTGTTTGCATTTTGGTACTAAGGAAAAATTACTTTTTTTTGGCCTATTTTCAAATCTAATTTGTTTTATTTATTTATGCATTATGGTCTTTTCCCAGTCAAAGTCAGTTCAGTGAGGTCATGCTTAGTGGGTTTTGTCTACTCACACATCCCTTCCCTCATTGTCAAATATAAATGGAAGTGGTATTTTATTATTGTTTCATAATTATTGGCCAGATGCTAAAGATACTTAAAAAGTTATCAGTATTTAATTTGCAATTTCTGAGAATGGGCTTGTATCTATGTGTTCGGTGTTCTCTTCAGATGCAGAGATGTAAATGTCATTTTTCTGTTCTGTTTTCAGGTCACATGTGCCAATTTAACAAATGGTGGAAAGTCAGAACTTCTAAAATCAGGAACCAGCAAATCCACACTAAAGCACATATGGACAGAAAGCAGCAAAGACTTGTCTATCAGCCGACTCCTGTCACAGACTTTTCGTGGCAAAGAAAATGATACAGATTTGGACCTGCGATATGACACTCCAGAACCTTATTCTGAGCAAGACCTCTGGGACTGGCTGAGGAACTCCACAGACCTTCAAGAGCCTCGGCCCAGGGCCAAGAGAAGGCCCATTGTTAAGACGGGCAAGTTTAAGAAAATGTTTGGATGGGGTGATTTTCATTCCAACATCAAAACAGTGAAGCTAAACCTGTTGATAACTGGGAAGATTGTAGATCATGGCAATGGGACATTTAGTGTCTATTTCAGGCATAATTCCACTGGTCAAGGGAATGTATCAGTCAGCTTGGTGCCCCCTACGAAAATAGTGGAATTTGACTTGGCACAACAAACTGTGATTGATGCCAAAGATTCCAAGTCCTTTAACTGTCGCATCGAATATGAAAAAGTTGACAAGGCTACCAAGAACACACTCTGCAACTATGACCCTTCAAAAACCTGTTACCAGGAGCAGACCCAAAGTCATGTGTCCTGGCTCTGCTCCAAGCCCTTTAAGGTGATCTGTATTTACATTTCCTTTTATAGTACCGATTATAAACTAGTACAGAAAGTGTGCCCTGACTACAACTACCACAGTGACACACCTTACTTTCCCTCAGGATGAGGATGGACATGGGGGGTGAGACTGAAGCCTGAGGACTCAAAGGTCATATGATAGGGCTGTTACCTCAAAGAAGAAGGTCACATCTGTTGCCTGGAATGTGTCTACACTGCTGCTCTCGTCAACTGGCTGCAAATATGCTAGTGGAAAACAACCTGATGTCATTTCTGCCCAGTTAGCTTCATCTCTCAGTATGGTTGTAAATCACCACAGATTTTAAAGCCACACATGAAGACATTCTCTCACACACAGATGCACAAAAACACACACTCATACACATTTCAGCTTGCATCCATCATGATTCCTGTTGAGAGGGCTTTCATTGTCTGACTCATAATAGGTGAGGATAAACTATCATCAAGCAAAAGGATTAACTAGACAGAGAATGCTTTCTAACACTTGCTGTTATGGAAATCTCTTTTAAAGTCTTAAGTACATGCCAATCAATAATCCCCACTCATGCATTCCTACTGCTTGGAGTAGCTGTCCTGGTAAATACTACTGTAGGAGTATATGCTTGTTAAAATGGAAAAATGTGTCTTTAGAGCTCTGTATTCTTTATTTTATGAACACAACAAAGTGTAGTAACTTCTTTCCAGCATACAGTAGTCACATTCAAGGTGATACAAGATGGCTCTTTTTTTTCTATGGAGGGAGCCCATTCTCAGTAAAGATGAGCAAATATTTGGAATTTACATGTGGGCAGATATTGGAATTACAGCTTTCATCACCAACCACTGGACTGTTGTGAAGTTGAGACAAGCTGAGGCTGCTTAAAACAAGTTCTGATCATTATGTAAGAAGGAAAATGCCTGGCAGACACCATGTAAGTTGTAAGTGTCTGTCTTATCTTTACTACACATATTGTAACAAATTCAATATCCTAGTCTTCATTTGTATGAATGGTTTGTATTGTACATAGTTTAACCAAGTGTTATTTGAGCTGCTTATTAATATTAACTTGTACTTGTCTATCTGCTTGTTATTGGTTAAAAAAGAAAAAAAAGGATATGAGGAATCCATTTTATCAATATAGCTGTGAACTCCATTAAAAAGACAAACTTAATGTACAAAGCATTTATTCAGCTCAAGTATTGTTGAAAACTATACATATAGTACATTACAGTCTGTCTGTATTTAGATATTTTATTTCTGGACAAAAATGAAATGTACATAAAAATAAAACACTTAAAGTTGAGTTTCAATATGTACTTGTGTAACATGATACTTTAAATGGTTCTGACAAGAAGAATGTGCTGGAATACTGTCATGGGCTTAGCCTCTCATGTTGTTATGTTTGTAACAAACGAAAATTCATTGTCTTGAGTCCATTCCCATTCACAGTGACTCTATAGGACAGAGTAGAACTGCTTCATAGGGTTTCCAAGGCTGTAATCTTCGAGGAAGCAGACTGCCACATCTTTCTCCCATTGAGCAGCTGGTAGGTTCCAACCACTCACCTTTTGGTTACCAGCCAAGTGCTTAACCACTGCGCCCCTAGGGTTCCTCATATGTATCTAAATTGCTATTAATTGTCCAGTCAACACAACTTAAGAATTTCAATCTCAAGCATACGAAACAGTTGTGGCATACATCACACACGTTTGGCTTACTGTCATATTAGTCACCCAAATATATTAAAATAATTTAAAAAAGGGGCATAAAGGGACAAGTGAATATCCTAAATTAATTATAATTAGTTGACTTTTTCCTGTATTGAGTTTTTATTTGCAAGGGATTTGAGGGGAAGGATTTTTTTTTTTTTTAAGAAAGCCAAGATATCTGAAAATGTGGCTGATTTTTTTTTCTGGTTCTGATGTAAGGACTAAATAGGAAATTCAGATAGCAGTGGAGGGCTTCAACATTGAATTTATCTTTTCCACATGGGGTCAATGTATCTATAAAGCGTTGTGTATGGACTTAAAATTTTCTTTTTAATTACTATACACAATCCCAGCAAAATACACAAAAGAGATATGTTACAAATTGTTGGGATATGAAGACTCACAAAGGTTAACCAAAGGAAAAAAAAAAAGTCACTGCCATGGAGTTGGATGCAACTCCTAGAGACCCTCCTTGGGTTTCTGAGGCAGTATCACTACGGAAGTAGATGGCCCAGCCTTCCTTCCGAGGAGTGGCTAGTGTGTTTCAGCTTCTGGTTAGCAGTCACATGCCTTAGGCACTATGACACCAGAGCTCCTAAACTAAACTCACTGCCTTTGAGTCATTTCCAACTCATAGTGACCCCTCCTTGGGTTTCTGAGGCAGTATCTCTATGGAAGTAGATTGCCAGTCTTCCGAGTATTAGCTAGTGGGTTTGAACCATCCTATGCTTATATTGCTGTTATGCTGCTTAGGAATGAGATATGTAAAAAGTTACATATATATATATATGTAACAAAAATGTAACTTCTAGAGTAAAAACTCAATTATTAATTTGACTGAAGAGAATCTTCAACTGCAAATCAGAGGCATATCTTTCTGTTAAATGTCCGTCTTGCAAAATTCTCCAATATATTCAGACAACCATTTAGATCAATATATTAACTAATTTTCCATGGAATTTAGAAGCTAATGCCAGAAGAGACTCTCCGTGGCACATTAGGCTAAAAGAATTTCAGGAATTCCAGCTGTTGGACATACTTACCATGGAGAAATCGTGCCATCTGGGGGTTATTTAACAAAGTGATCACTTAAGAGTTAGTTGGGTCTTGGCAAACAAGAGAGTAAATGAAAAGGGAAAAGTCAATTATATTCTTAGGATCATTTCTTTAATGGTCTGTGATTTTCATTTCATTATGTAATCTGATCTGTCTTTTTGTAACCCAACCTTCAGTATAAGAAGAAAATGTGCTTCAGTCTCCATCACCTCTCAGTCCCCTGCTCTCTAATCTACCCATGAAATCTTGCTTTTACATTAAAAACAAACAAACAAACTCATGACATAGTGAAATAACTAACTTTCAATGAATTGGATTTTTTTTTTCTCTAATTTTTCTTTATGTTGTTGTTGTTTGTTATATGCCGTCTAGTCGGACCCGACTCATAGCGACCCCTCCTTGGGTTTCCTAGGTGGTATTACTACGGAAGTAGAATGCCCAACCTTCCTTCTGAGGAGTGGCTGGTGGGTTTGAACCACCAGCCTTCTGGTTAGCAGTCAAGTGCCTTAGGCACTATGCTACTAGAGCAAAATAAGAAGAAAATCTGTAACACATGTCCAGCAAGAATTTCAATTTTAAAAAATTCAAACTTTTATGACTATTTACACACACTTATCTCAAACTCCTACATCATCAACACTTCCATCTGTAATAAAGAAAAGTTATGATTTTGAACATTGATCCACCAAAAAAAAAAAAGTTATTTGCAATCAATATATGCTTCCTATTTTTGACCAGAAGGTAGATGAAAGAAGATTATTCATAGGAGGTTCAAAAGTTCAGATTAAAAATTTTATCAGTCCAACTTGTTACTTTAACAAACAAGTTAATTAAGTTTTAACTATACTAGAAATTGCATATATCATTTGGGAAAAATAAACTTAAAGCAGCACTAAGGAAATGACCTTCTCCCATCTTAAGTATTTCATACTTTTGATATGGAAAAAACTTTCCAAGTGGAAATAATATCAGATGAAAAACAGGTTTGTCATCACCTTTTGTTCTTTTCTAAAGCATTTTAGTAAAATTAAAATTTTATGAAGAAAAGATTATTGAAGCTTCTTGACTGATGGAAGAAAAATAGTATCTATTTAGGATATTTATGATAAAGCAATGAATTGTCATGCTATTGTTTCCATTGGGAATTTTTGGATCCAAAGCTCCTGTGAGAAATTTTTTGCATAAATGGGAAAAAAAAAGTAACTGTTAAAGGTACAGGTCTAAAATTCCTGAAGTGATTATTCTGCAAGGAATTGAGATACTTGTTAAAGTTAAAACTGTGGATGCTGGGCATGTTCAGGTTCTTACATTTCTGCGATAAAATGTGAGCCATATTTTTGCACAGAAAGATAAAAAAAAAAAAATCATGAGAAGCCTGAGTAAAGTGTTTTCCTTTTCCCCTTTTCCCATTGCTTTACATCTAAGAGGCAGCTTAACCAATATAAACAGCTCTTTGGAAAAGCAATTTTGCATCTCCACCACCACCTTTGAATGCCAAGTGTTAGCCTGAAGCAAATTCAGATGTCTGTGTTTATAAATCCAAGAAAGACTTAGTTGATGGACCAGTTTCAGATGTTTATTTATCTTCATTTCTTTATTTGTTCACCTATCAAACTATTTATCTATTTCATATTTATTATTTATCATATCTTTTTATTTACATAAAATGCAAATCAGTAGATGCTTTCAAAAATTAAAAATTTAAAAACATTACTTTGCATAAAGATGATTATTATTTACCTAGTCTGTAGATGACAAAAATTGAATACATTAGTAAAAACCAAATCCAACCTACTCCCTTTGAGTCAATTCTAACTCACAGAGAACACCACTGTGTTTCCAAGGCTGTAAATCTTTATGGAAATAGATTGCCTCCTCTTCCTCCCATGGAGCAGCTGGTGAGTTTGAACCACTGACCTTCTGCTTAGCAGCCAAATGCCTTACCCACTATGCCACAAGAGTATTTAATAGCCTAAATTAAATCCTGAGAAAACTGATTGTAAATTTAGGCTTTTCTTAAGAGTCACATGCATGTCAAAGAACTATTACAGCCCAGTTGGGTATATAAGGAAAGCAATCTTCCTTAATTTAAAATTAAAGTGTATCAATAAGTTTTATATCCAATAATATTAGACATATTATTAGATAAATTTACTATGTTTTATTTTTATCTTACTTGAATAGAAAGAATAGAAATCTTATAATGAGAGAGTTTTAGTTTCCATTTGTACTGTGAGCTAGGTCGTAGACGAAGTCTAAAATTAGGAGACTAGTTACTGCCATGAAGCTGGCCAAGTGTTCCAAGTTTAATTAATCTCTGTTGTTGTCACAGCTGCTCATGAC